GGAGTTACGTAGTCTACTGTATTGGGGTCCCTCCGAGTGTGATGCAACCTGAGAGCCAGAACAGGAAACCTGTGGAGTCTTTTACCGGATCTGATGCAGATGCAGTTAAAGCAACTTTGTCCGAGGCTTATACCTGGATAACGGATGAGTAACGTGGGTAGGGTGCTGGCGATCAACAATCCCCCAGGTGATAACGATCCAAATTATAACGTAATTAACCGGGCCAAAATTCAATACCAATGATGAAATCGACTCGGACGCGGACTTTCAAGCCACCAACGGATCAGTAACATATGTCGAAGATATTGTATTTCGGCCTGAAGACTAAAGTATTCAGGAGAACGACAAACCCTATGCAAGTAGTGAATTTCAACAACAACCATCCAATCAGCCACAAACGCAGTTGCGCGAGGACGCTTTATCGGCGAACCAGAGAAAAAAGTTCCCGAAATGCAATAGCTTCGGAAGGTGTTCAGAGAAAATGGCTACTTGCGCCACTTCGTCAACCAGGGCTTGCGCAAACGAGATGGGCAACAAATTGGTACCGCCACCAATTTTTGGCAGGCAATCCCGTACGTCAAAAACGTCTCGGAGGCCGTCGGCCGTCTTCTTGCACCACTTGGAGTTGGACTCGCGCACAGGCCGGAAACAAACATAAGGCGTCAGATAGTGAAACCAAAAAAGAATCACTGCCACAGTAAGAAACATCTGGAGTTGTCCACAGGATCTAGTGCAGTTGCGGGCAAAGCAACTACTTCGTAGAAACTGCAAGGCGTCTCAAGACGCAAATTGCCGAACACGCGGCACACAAGAGGGCAATTGTCGTTAATTGTCGCTATTTGTCCTACGTGTGCAGCTTTCTGTTAAATTCTCTGATGCAGAATCTGCGACGGGTGTTGAAACGTCAGGCGAAGAAACATTTTGGCCCAGCGATCGAATCTTCTTCTCAAGTACGCATGAGGCCACGTGGCCACTGCGAACTATAAATACTGGGCACCCTGTGCTTCTCTCACCCCCCTTTTTCCACGGTTGCCACTGAGGATTGGTTCGAGCGGGAATTCAAAAGCTCAGTCGGGAGTTCTCCCTTTCATCCAACTTCCTCCACCCGAGAATTAGTGAGAAGAACTAAACAGATTCAAATCAACACCACTTGAGCATTTTTCTGATTAAAATATAAAAATGGGATGCATCTGCATAGTAAGAAGCTAAGACAATGAAGTCATTGAAAGTTTCATGACAAGCTTTCTGCTGGAGTATATGTAGACCTGCGAGCCAAGGTTTTTGGTGCGTTGCCAGACGAAAAACCAGTCCAAAGTGTGCAAGATATGGGGTAGCGGCCCGGTGCACATTTGTTTGCTTGTCAGCAACCAAAATTTCACCATACCTCATGACGGCGGAGGTGCCTTTGATGTATTACAGTTGGTGCTAGAGAGCGAGAAATCATGGTTTTGCATCAGCTCAGTAACGATATCGAAATTCTACCAACTTAGACGTGACTGGAATGAGTGTACATCTTTAGTATCCAAGTGAAGAATATAAAAAGGACGCATATGCGTAGAGTCGTTTACTGGATCTGGCGCAAGTGTGGGCAAAT